GCACAGAGAGTGTGTCCATCAACTCAATGACAGATCTCATTAAATCCAACCAAAAAGCATACATCGCTAACGTGTCAGAAATTTGGTGGATGTTTGAGAATCATGATAAATATAATGTTACATTAACACCAGAGTTGGCCCAATTGCGCAAAGCCAACAGAATTGAATGGGTGCCACAGGAGGGTCCCTACCCTATAGATCAAAAGGTTTTTTGACACAAATAATAACATTAATAAATTAGTTATAATATTGTATTTATAAATTTTTGTTAGCCTTTATTCAAAGATGTGGGTAAAAGAAGTTTTGTATATATGAGCTATTATTCGGCAATCTTTGACCGAAAGTATATTAATCTGGAATACAATTTAGAGATTTCCGATGAAAAAGGTTTTCCCGCATTAATAGCCTTTCCTGTGGCCAAAAATCACACCAAATCCCGACAGTTATTGCTTAAAATGTATGTATTTTATAACATTTAGTGTACATACTGTATCTAATAGAATATTCTTCCAAACGTTTATTTATTACATTATATTTTACATACAGACTAAACATTATGGTCGAGTCGGGTATTAATGTAGAGATGGAGGAGATGTCTAAATTAGGCATTATTATGGAGGGCCACAACCTATACGATGACTATAGGAACCGTACAAACAGTTCCCATCACCAAGATGAGGCGTCAGATATTAAATTTGAACTAATCATTGTGCTACTAATATCATTGTGCACGTGTTTGGCATTTTGCCTGGCTGTTTTCTTATTAGAGCTTATTGTATTTAATTCATACAATAGTGAAAAGCGATTTGATAAACATCAAAATTATAATTATAGCCGCCGTAAGCATTATGTTCAACCGAACTTGATCAACCAAAGTTTGCACCAGCATTAGGGCAAATAAACTACAATGATGTTATTAACATAACCTTAGTTCGTATAAAACACATTATTATATCATATAATAATTATGTGAATTGTGTAACATGTGCACCAGAAATACTATTGTCACTATTAATTATGAATAAATAACTGGAAATATTAATAATGTGTGGTTGGTAAATTACTATATAAACAAGTATAAGTCAGTATACAAGTAAATGTTGGTCGTAACGATTGATTTGTATTACACTTAATTATACGTTTGTTGCGAAATTTATAAACTCTTATAACTATTAATTATGATAAATTGATATTATTCAATAATATTATAATTACAGACATACATGCATGTAGAAAAAATTAAAACTATTACATGAACTACTGTATAATTTACGGACAGCAATAATAATCGAGTACTTAAAATACGGGTAATTAATGTAAATCGAAATGAATTTGTAAATCATTTCTAACAAATTCATTGAGAAATAAAGTTATAGTAATACTTATTTCATTGAAAAATGAAAATAATTGCAGTCAACTAATCGATAAATCAATTTAAATTACACTTTGATTATTGCAATTTTTATTCGACAATAACATAATAAATTGGCCAACAATTTCACAATAAAGTACATTATCTTGTACTTGAATTTAAAATTTCCATAATCTTGCAAAATAGTTGTGTAATATTTTCTAGTAATAAATGGTTAAGAAAATATAGTTATGTAATATTTTCTAAAGTTTGGTAGTTTAAATATAGTTAATCTGATAAATGCGTGCTTGGTCAAACGAATAATGCAGTATATAAACATTTATTTATAATTAAAATACAAGTTTTTAAGTACATGAAAATTAATTTTAATATATTTTATATTAAGATAATTAATTAAATATTGATCATATTTATACAGTTTCAATATTATACATTAAAATTTATATACAACAATTTTTCAATAGACAATTGACAAATATTATAAAGAATTTTATACTTATACATTAATTAATGTAAATTGTAAATACAGTAAATTGCAAATATCTATAAAACATTTATAATAAGAAGTGAATTAATTGCAAATATATAGAAAAATTCAAACAATTTTAAACTATTCATTGAAAAGAAATCCAAACAATAAAAGCCAATTGTGGGTCCGGACAGGCGTTCAATGAATACCATTACCCGATATCTCTCGTCGTGTGTCAGTGCGGGTGATCGGGACAGGTATGAGACCATTAGCTTATAAGGTTTGTGAGCAGTTTTGGCAATCATAGCGCTCAACACAATGACACTGATATAGATTGAAAATAGACTAAAAAGAAACCACCAGACAATATATCGGGTGAGTTGTGTGAGGCCAGGCTTATGAACACCATATATAGTGATCTGCATTCCAAGCGATAGTATGTAATACAATACAAATATAGG